CTGATGGTCTTGGCCAGTGCTGGGAAATGCCTCCCAGTACTGAAATCTCCATGGCTGCAAGAAGTTTCCAGTGGGTTTTGCTTTTCAGGATTTCATGTGACATTTCTTTTTGAAAGCTGAATTGGAATGATGCTTTGCTCCAAAACTCCTTGCTCTTCTTGTAGGAATTCAGTATTGTGATAATTTGCTGAGCCTAAACTCTACAGCTCTCTTCCTTTCCTAGATCAAACCTGATAAAATTTTCCACATGTTGCAGGAAATGTTTATATAACAGATTTTTTGGGCTATCAAGTGTTTCCTCACACTAAGCACTCTCACATTCAAGGCAGATTACAGTGATCTGTCATATATTGTTTGTTCTGTCCCCTCACCACGGGCATGTGACTGAAGTGTTCATGACAGTAGGGAAGGGCTGTCAGATGGGAAGTGAGATGTTTCTCAGTCACCCTGTGCTGTGTCCAGTAGTAATTTGCAGGGAGTTTGAAGTTGTTGGCAGCTGTAGCTCCGAAATAACACTGAGCTGTCTCCTCTCTGCTATTTCACATGAAACTGAGATTTTTTGCAGTGGTTGTTTCATTTCCCCATCTGCTCATCCCCTCCTTTATCTCATGAGGCTGATGTCTTGCCACCCCATCTGCCATCCAAATACCAAGTTCCAGAAAACACGAGAAAGTTTGTGATGCAAATGCAATTTATTGATGTGTTTTTCATTTCACTCTGACATTTGAGACTGTTGACTTTTCCTCCAAATTGTGTGTACACAGTCCCACTGAAATGCACTTTCCTCTAGAGGGAGAGGAATTGGAAGGCTTCACAACTGCTGGAGAGCTATCCATGCACCTTAACGGATAGCAGGGAAAAATCTATGTCAGGAAGAGGTTTGGATGGAGTTTTTTTTAGCTGTGTACATACAGGGACTGCTGTCCATCTCTTAAAACTTTCAGAAGTTACAAAACTAGATTTGAATCTGCAGTAGAGTATTCAGGTGTTTCATGTCATGGAATGGTTTGGGTTGGAAGGGGCCTTAAAGATCATTTAATTCCAGCCCTGATGCCATGGGCACCTACAGGACTGTGGGATGTGTATGATGGGGATGAGCAGCTCCATTCTACCTCTGCTAGGTGCATTTTAAGGGAACAGCAGAGAAGCATTGCAGCACAAACACAGCAATTAAGGAAATGCTTGTGGCGTGTTGTTGTCCCCCTGATCTCTGCAAATACCAGGTAAAACAAACAGGAATTGTAAGGAATGGTCATGAGGAGCAGTGGACCAGGTGCTGCATGTTGAGCCTTGTTAAGGAGCACAGCAGCCTCCTGGGTGCAGTGAAGGAGAACCATCTGTGCCACCCAGTGTTTTCTTGCAGCAGGGAGATAAAATTCACCTCAGAGCCACTCAAGTGTTTTGCAATTCACTGTTTTCCCTGGATGTGTTGCAGTAAGTAATGGGCATTGTCCTGCCACACTTGGGGCTTGCTGAGCTTCAGTGTAAGGCTTTACCATTCATTTTCCCTGTTAGGTTCAATTTTTTTTCCATGGTCTTCCTAAATAGATAGGGCCTGGTTTCCTTAGGTGCTGCTGAGCAGTCCCAGGTGGAATAGAGGGGGCTTGCAGCATGGGTGAAACTATGGTCCAGGAAGTTATTTTATTATGAATCCATTAAGGACTTTGCAGTTTGGTGGGTAACTGAGGTGTTCAGGGGGTTTATACAGGAAAAATATTTTATTGCTTATTCCAGTGTGAATAGGCAGGAATAGGCTTGGCCCATGTGCATCTCACATCCCAGCATCCATAGTGGAGCTCCCAGTTGATCCCAGCTCTCTGAAGCCAGGCTCAGTGTGCAGTTACTCCAGATGAGAGGCAGTGCAGCCCCAGTCCCTGTGAGACTTGTCCTGGTGGATGTAATACTGTGTGGAACAAACCTCCTGCTTGTGATGGGGCAGCTTTTCCAGGAGGATTTGCAGCTTGCAGGATATTTTTATTTTGTTGTTGTGGCTCTTAACACTGTGCCCCAGGCTCCACTAAATAGACAACCTCATTAAAAGAGAAATAGCGATAGTAAAGCAGTGACTTTCTCGTGCCATCTAACTCACATTTTTGACATGATTGCTGGACCCTCCAAGTACTTAATTGATTGACTTAATTGATTTAGTGGCACTGGAGGCTACAGCATGGAAATAAAGGGGCAAGATGAGGATAAGGGGTGAAAAAATTTATGATAGGTGCCAAGCAGCCTGAGGGAAATTAGAAATGCTACAGATCTCAGAGGCAGCTAAATCAATTCAGTGTGATGTACAGGGAGCGACCTGGGGGAAGAGAAGCAGGGGATGGAATGGGGAAAAGGAGAGGAAACAGTGGCTGGTGGGAGAGACCAGAGTAAACCTGAGAGGAAGAGGAAAGGCAGCAGGCTTGGTGCAGATGGGTATTTTGAACTTTTGAGTTTAACACCAGACAGAAATATCTTAGTGTATGAATAAAATACAATAATGCCATTATGTTTAGCCTAAGAAAAAGAGCTCATGCATCACAAGAATGTCTTGTTACCCAGTTTGAGACTTTATCTGTGCTTCCATTCGAAATCTCCAACATTTGCAACAGTGACTAAAGTCACAGGAGACCTAAAATAATTTGGAGGATGTGGATTTTGTTAACAACTGAAACTTAAATGTTAAATTACTTTCTAATCTCTGCAATATGTAATTGACTGTGTTGAACGGTAATACAAATTAAGTCTTCTCTATAATTTGTTCTGTCGTGCTGCAGTGCTCCAAAACAATTTGGTACCTCACTTAAGGATTGGTAAATGGTTTGTAGCAGCTCTCAGTCCAGACAGAGTAAAAACTTCAAATGGTGTGTGTGGAATCCATCAGTATTGGCATACAGGGGTGTCAGAAACATCCCTGAGTTGAGAAATAATTATTTTATGTGCTTGTGGCCAGTTAACAGGATTCTGATCTTGCATTTTATGGTGGTGAATCTCTCCTGACTGCAACAGGAGCCCCATTTCTGCTGTTCAGGAGCAAAAAGTCAGACACTCAGTAAATAGTGCTTAGAATGGATCATTGGAAGATGTAGAAAGGACACATGAGGTGAACTGAGGGCCATGAAAACACAGATGTGTTTATTTCTACATTTGAGTACAGCATGCACCATTGCATTTCACATGTGTGTTCTAACTCAGTGTCCCTCAAACAAGTGAAAAGCTCTCCCTGAACACTCCATCCAGTAAAATACAGAAAAGGATAATTGCAGTCACCTCTAATTAATTTCTATTTCTATTGATACAGTGTGTAATATCATAACCATTGGAAATGTAACAATTTTTGAACAGTGAATGTGGATTCCCAAATAAATTGCAGCATCTCCATCTGCTCTCTTACCTTGTGGGTGATACTCTTCCATGGTAGAACAATCTTCAAATTTAATTCCATGAGGAAGGCATCTGATCACAGTTTAATTTCAGTGCAAAACGCTGCCTGGCAATCAATAAAGCAATGTCAGAGAACTTTGATTTAATAGGAGCCAGAGATAACGTTCCCTGTCATATGCAGAATAGAGAGATGGGAACATTTCATTTCATCCTAACAGATAGCATGTAACTTGCTTTTCAAAAAAACCTAATAAATCAATATCCCTGTATTATCTAAGTAAGATCCCATCATTAATTTTAAACGCTCAACACATCGGGAGAGTCTGAAGTGCACCTTCAGCTGAGCCACATTCTGCCTGCAGTCACTGGCAACACTTAACTCTGCCACGAGCAAGCAATCTTGATATGGGGACATTAAGAGCCATTTACTGTGAAATAAAAATGAAACATGTCCAGTCTTTTGTTTTATATGGAGCCATCCATCTCTTGCAGGCTGCCTCTCCTTCCAGATCCCGCTCCCTGCCCTGCAGCAGCCCCGTCACTCGCCCTGCACACCCTCAGCCTTTTCCCTGCCACACACAGACATCCTCCCTCCTTCTGAATTTTAAAACTTTAACTTCTCTTTTTTAACTCCAAAAATAACTGCTTGTTTAGAGATTGCCTGGATACCATGCTGGTTTTCAAGATGTGCTTTTCTCAAAGCCAGCAGGAATCTGGACCTCCAAAGAATTCTCTGTGAGGCTTTGCCTGCTCTCAGAAATAGCTTTTTCCCTAGATGATACAAGAGCAGGTCAATGTATCAGAAGACAGAAATTGAAACTAATAGATTTTTTTAGAAAAGCTTTCCAAGGAAAAAGTGGGATTATTTTAAGTGGAAATACTTCTGTGTTACTTGGATAATAAAATGCTGTTTAGTGCAAAGTGAGAAAGATTCTGCCACTACAAGAGATGATTCGAAGAGCCTCAGATTAATGTCCTGACTCTGGACAGAGTTGTGCTCACACAGTTAAAATTAAGTCTTTTTATTATTACAATTCACCAAAGTGGGATTTTAAGTAAAATGTGGACTTTTGCATTCAGCATTGATTTACAGTTGAATAATTACATTTACATTCATTTTCTGAGGAAAATAAGTATTTGGAGCTGTGTTACTGCTTCAAGTGAAATCTCTCACACTGGGTGATGCTGATTTCTCTGGAGATAAGGCAGGTCTGGTACTGATTCCTTGAGGTATTGGAGATCTCAGCTGTAGCTCTGCAGATCAGCCTGGCCTGGGAGTCACCCTGTGTGAAGCTCCAGGTTTCTGTAGCCCCTGCTTATTTATGTACCAAGAAATACTGATTCTGTGCCTGGGATGCTGAGTAGGTTGTAGCTAGGTTATGCATTTTTTATTTAATTGTATTTCACTTAAAGATACCTAGAAAAATCATCAGTGAAAGCTTTTAGTCAACTGACAAAAGCAAGTCAAAGCTGATTAGATTTTGAGCAAAAAAGAGGCTTAAAGAGTTCAGATATTAATTGGTTTTCATATCAGAATGTGTTGGGATCCAGATAAAGTGGCGAAGGAGAAATGATACTGCTTTTTAATCAAACATTCTGATGGATATTCTCTACTGTTGTTTGGTTCTTTTTAGCTACTCCAGCATCACCATGCAGTTCATGAAATTTCCTACATTGCAAAGGATATCACAGACCACCGAGCGTTTGGATACGTGTGTGGAAAGGAGGGAAATCATAGATTTGTGGCAATAAAAACAGCCCAGGCAGTAAGTATCAAATCACTGTCATTTTCTGCTGTGTAACTCAACTGAAAAGCCATTTGTGAGGAGCTGTTCAAGAGGCTGGTCTTGGGTTGTTTATGATTGTGCTAAACGGGTCACAAGTGTCTGTGTGGATCTTAAATAGCAAACTAATGGAACCAGCTTGGGCAAAAGGGAGTGTGTTTCATTGCTCCCAATTTTTTATGATGTGTTTTGTTATAATTAGTTATTGTTTACCTTTCCAGCTAAGCTAGACTGAATGAAGATAAATTTGCTTATGTTCCTATGCTCATGGAAACCACATTGTGTGTAGTCTACTGTAATTTCAGTGGGTGAGAAACCACTAATAAATATGCCTTTACATTCATCCATGTGCCTTTTATATTCATAATGCTTTTTATATTCATAACTGTAATTATCATTAATTTTCAAGCATAGTTAGTTCAGCAGGAATTAACCCAGGCCTGAGTGCTGAGATAGAAATTAATTCTATATTGAGTTTCATTGTGGAGGTGCTCTATCAGCAGGATGGGATAAGAGGTGTTTATTTTCCCCTACAGAAATTCTCCACCCTGTTTTTACTTCCTTAGGCTGAACCTGTAATTCTGGACTTGCGAGACCTGTTTCAGCTCATCTACGAACTGAAACAAAGGGAAGAAATGGAAAAAAAGGCACAAAAGGACAAACAGTGTGAGCAGGCGGTATACCAGGTACACCAATAAGCTTAGACTACTGCCACGAAAATTTGGGTTTGGAGTTTCTCCCAAAATTGCTCCAGAGAGGCTCTGAGCATCCTCAGCACTTCTGACAGCAGTGGGTTTGAGCAGTGCTGGCTTCCCAAGGACCAGCGTGAGCCAGCAGCCAGCCTGAGCCCAGCCTAGGATTAAACTGAGCTCAAAGCTGTCCCTGGGGTGTGGTGAACCTGGTTAGCAGCTGAAATGATCCCCTCATTTCCTGCTTAGTGTTTCTTCTAGTTCAGAAGGAAAATTTTAATGAAGGGTCGGTGTTGTAAGCCAGGTTTTAAGTGTTGTAAGCCAGGTTTTAAGTGTTGTGAGCCAGAATTTAAGTGTCTCATGCTTTAGGAGAGATTTAATATACTTCTGAATGTGTGTGTTTGAATCGAGTCAAACAAGGTGCAGATTGTCAAACTCGGATGGAACTTGAATAAAGTTACTTTGTACTATAATGTGACTTTATCTGTATCCTAAAGAAAGAAAACTATAAACTTACCTGCCCATTTTGCTTATTCCTTTGCTGTCCTTTAATTTCTGAATACAGTTCTTTTATCTCTGCTGTTTATGTTCTTTGCTTTTACTGCCTGTCCTCTTACTTTGCTGTAGACAATTTTGGAAGAAGATGTAGAAGATCCTGTATACCAGGTAATTTCTGAAGCTGTATGGCCTTGGAGTTTCAGAAATGACTAGATACATGTTATCTTCAAACACAGCCAAAATCTTGAACAAGATGTTTTGAAATTTACTGAGAGGTCTTGTGAGAAATCTTTAAAATCTCCACAGAAAGGAGCATTTTTAGAAATGAAGCTGTAAGTAATAGCACAATATGTCTGTATAGAATGGAATGTTTCAGTTGAGGTATAGAAATATTAGATGAAATATGTCATAAATGCTGCTTTAAATGTGGCTTGTGTAGCCAGATTTTAAGTTTCAAAATGAGATTTGTCATCATTTTTTAATACAAACTCTTAACTGAAAAGGGAGCTACTCTGAGAATTAGGGAAGGTGGCATCTTGTCCTCATAGTAATAAGTTGACATTTTGTTTTTGTTTTCTGTGGAGCCAGAATTTAATTCAGAGGGTGAATATTTGGGGGAAAAAAACAAACAGTAGCATTGATGTTGTAACACACTCCTTGTTGGTGTTTGAGCTATGATTTTATAATAGATCTGAAATTTAATTCTTGCTCCATCCAAGAAAAATGTCTGGGAGCAAAGATGATTATCAGAAATGTGTCAATATATTCATGTCCAATACCCTGCTGAGTGTGAAGAAGAAAAAGATGTAATTTCATTCTCGTGTTTTTGTGCTGAAACAAAATATGTGATAGTTTACTTTTTTTTCCTGGGGATTTTGTGTTCTTCCACTTAGGCATATCAGTGGGAGTCACGCTGAAAGGATCCAATTCAACCATTAGTGAATATTGAACAGTGCCTAAGGTGCAGCAAGGAAGATGATAAGAGTCAGGATGCCCTAAATTACTGTTTAGCTATTATAATGTCAGGAGTTTTGTTCTGTACTCTTCACAATAAAGAAAGAACCTGAAAATGAAAAAGTGTTGTGCCAGCCTTTTGCCATGTGGCGTGTTCCACGCACACCAGCCTGTTCTCCCAGCTTGGATTTAGCACTTTTATTCATAGATAATAAATATATGTGGAAATAATTGCCATTATGTAAAAGAGGCAAAATCCACGTTGCCTTCAGAAAATTAATACTGGGCCACAGGCAGTCTCCCTGGCGAGGAAGAATTAGGGAGTTGCTCTAATGATCATTAAGAGGAGATTTAGGCCTGTTCATGAAATATGAAACAACCTTTCCTGGTGCTTCCCAACAAACCAGTTGTCCTGCTGCCAGCCTGTGCTTTGAAGTTGTTTCTTTAATGCCTGCCTTTGTTTTGACGTGGAATTCCAAACGGCCTTTTTCCCTTCTGTTTCATCTCTGACTGTCCCTCTCTGGCGCTGCTGCCATAGTACATTGTGTTTGAGGCTGGACACGAGCCCATCCGTGAGCCTGAAACGGAGGAAAACATTTATCAGGTATAAAACCTCTCCCCTCGCTGTTCCCATCGCAACGAGCGCCAGCATTTGGTGAAAGTGCATTTCATACATAGCTCGCTTTTAGTTTTCATCCATCACCAAAACTGTCTTGGCATTTCATTCTGGTGACATTATCTGCCCAGTCACAATGTGATTTTTCTGTTGTTTGTCATATCAGCTTCTGCGAATTGATATTAACTTTGTCAACTCACAAACTTTTGAGTACACCATATGAGGTGATAAAAGGAGATTCTTTTTTTTTTTCCTGTTAATTTTTTTGAAATTTTTTACACCTATTCTGAGAAACATGCTGAAGATGTTTTGTTGGCAGGCCATCCAAGCAGTTCCTAGAAATTTCAGTGGTGCTGCTCTTGTTTCTGTCTAACCAAGGAAATAACTGAGCAAAACCTCAGAGCTCTCAAGGGATATCCCCCCAGACCAGGGAAACTATTTTCAGAGTGCATATGTTATGTTAAAGCCCAAGCTCACATTCTTCACACTGACAAAAAACTGCGTTGAAAGCAATATAAAATAATCTTTTGTCGTTCAATTTATCCTCAAGGGATCGGTACGAGGTTTATTAAAATATAATGTAATTCATTTTGTATCACATACTAGAGGCAAATCTGAGGATAGACAGAGATCCTTGTGCACTGTATGAAAATTGTGATTCGAGGAAATTGTTCAGTGTGCAGGGGAAGGAGTTTCAGGCAGTGATTAAGCATTTCATCCAGCTGGACTAGAGGTTGATCTGCTTATGAGAAAAGATTGTAAGGTAGGCAGGAGCAGGGATAGAACAAAAAGGAAGAGCATTAAGTAATGAGAAAGTGTGGGAAGATAATAGAAAAAATGAGATGCTAGTGTAGCTGTAAGCTAAAATAAAAAGCTGATTGGGAAAGAGAAATACAAGTTAAATGTTAGAAAATGACATCTTATAGATGCCATCAGAGGGTCATTAATATGAGATTCGTTTACTTTCTCCCTTCTGCTCCCCTGGCACCACGCACACTCAAAAATGCAGCTTTTTGTATCTCCACACCAAGACATGCAAAGCTCTCACTCAAGGTGAGAGTCTGCCTAAGGCTGAACATTTTCAGTGTTGAAAGTTTGACTATTCTCAGCAAATGTTAAAAAATTGCTAGGCTAGTTGTCAGGTTTGTGCTAGAAACAAAAATCCCATGAGGACTAGATTTGAGGGGAAAAAAAAAGATGATTGTTGTTCATCAAAGTGTGGAGCTTTTAGTGACACTTCAAAGAATTAGAAGGTGGAAGGAGGCAAAATGGGGCTGTTGCTCCCAGTGTTTGTAGATCTTCCAGCAATCATTTGTGGGTAGGGAAGAAGTTGGAACTCAAAACTGTGTTTTGAGGAATAGCCCAGAGAACTTCAGGACTCCTTGGGCAGTTTCTTTTCCATAAAATAGAAATAGAAGGTGAAAAGCTGGAAGTGAGGCCTTGTCTCATCTCAAGGTACTGCTGTTACTGTCCTCTAAGTCACCAGAGAATTGCTCAAGGCTTCATTTGACAGCATCTGGATGTGATGAAGTGTTTCCTCCCACAGTGCTCACAGAAAACACCTGTGATTAATGTCCCATACTCTGGATCTTCACAGTTTAGCATTGTCCTCTGTGTTTACTACAGGCACTACACTACCTGAGCACAGCAAATGCTGAATTGGGGAGTTAGGAGTAATTTTTTGGTCTCGCTGTAGTGGATGGATGCTGAGGTGTCCCAGCTGCAGACTGGCCTGTAGCCATGAGCTTCCCAGCTCCCACAGGCTTCCTGAGCTCTTGGCTTCCACAAATATGGGTCTCCACACCTCAGATTGTACACTCAGATCCTGACAGAACTGTTTCTCTTACAAGATCTTGGTAATCTCAGAATCATCAGGCTACTGGTAAAAACAAAATTGAGAAAGATCCTCTTTTATATTTTTTTTTTGTGCTTTTGGTTGATTGGTTGGTTTTTCGTTGTTTTTTTTTTCTTTTAAATTTGATGCATATTTGTGGCAGCTTCTATTATTTACTGTGAAGCTTTCCCCACAGCAGACATTGCCAAACATATATCTGCTCAATAACCTCACACAGCATTGCTTCAGCCTCACCAAACCTTTCTGCTGGTGCTGCTCTGGCTTTTCATTTCCTGGCATGCAACAAATTCACTTCTTCCTTGGTGGAAGAGATTCCCAGCCTGTGGGGAATTGCAGATGAAAGATACGTGCAGAAAGTGACAATTTCTATTTCTTTTTAGCATAATAGAGGTCACAACTTTCTTTTTAAGCATTCTTTCTCTGTCTGTCACCTTTCTTTGATACATTACCTCAAAGAGCGTCTGTGTCTGCTCTTCTAATATTATCTATGTAAGTTGCTGTAATTTGTTAGGCAAGGACTCAATCACTGAGCACATACCAGCCCTCAGATTGCTTAATAGCAGCTCCTCTGCTGCCTGACGTTCTGGAGAGGTGGAGATGGGATTTTGGGAGGTGTTTTGGTGTTTGTGTGGCAGCTCTGGTCTCTGTGGAGAGGCGAGTTCTGCTCCGTGAGGAGCTGACAGTCCGAGATTGGGGGTTTAGGACTGTGGTGCTTTTATTGCTGCAAGATGCAAAGACATCCAGATGGTTCACAGCCTGTCACAGAGACAGAGCTGACAGCAGAAATAGAGCTGGTACCTCTTACTGGTGCTGCTAATCAAAGGGAAAACAGCAATTCATTGCAGCCCCCAGAGTAAGCAGAGATGCAAACAAATGCGGTGAGCAGCAAGAAAAGACAGCAGGTCAGGCAGCACTGAGTTGGGAGGGAGAAATGGCTTTCAGGAAAGTTTCTCTGTCTTCATGTGAGATGCAAGGAGCTCTCCTCTGAGTATAAATTGGAGTAGAAAAAGAGGGGTTGATAGTGCAGGGGAATGCTCAGTCCACAGTCAGCTCTGGATGTAGGTGCAAATTGGGATGTCTTCACAGAAAGGTTGGAAAGAGGAAGAGGAGAATGGCTGAAAGGGGAAGATTTTGGAGAAAACAGAAAAAAAATCATAAAAAATGCACACTAATGAAAGCTTAGAAACAGTTTATCTTTCCTTATCTCCCCCTCCTTTTGTGAAGATCCATCTTTCCAGTGACTTCCTTAAATCAACCATTCCTGGTTCCTGCTCTCACACTGTCACCTCCAGCTCTCTCTCTTTCCAGATCCTTACTGCCATGGCACTGAATTTTTACCAGTTTCACATACCTAATGTGATACTGGCTTTAGTGGAAGTGGCCAGAGAAAATCAAAGATAGGAATAGAAGAGATCTTCCACAAAGTTCATTAAGTTTCTTTGAGAGTTCTTGACAAACTCTTCAATATGCACCAAGTTAAAAACACAGAGCTTCTTGTGAAGGCTGTACAACAGTACAGAGATGTTTTTATACAGAATATCATACAGAATAATAAATGACAGCATATCTCAATGAATAAGTAACATTTCTTCAGCTTCTCCTAGCTGAGTTTAATATCAGAACCTTAAGATACTTATTGTCTTAGAAAACAAAAAGGTCATAATTTTATCATATTTGCAATATCATCTCATTGACCTATGAGGTTTCATTGTTGTCTGAAATGTAACTTTTGTACTCCCAATGCCTTGCTTGGTGGAAAAGCACCACTGATGAGAACAGGTTACTGTTCTTTTTGCTTTTGTCATTTTCAATGGACACTCAGTGCTTCCAGGGAGGAAAGGAAATATAATCACAAATTATAAATATGCAAACAAGTGGTCCTTGGGTGAGCACAGCCCAGTACTACAAAGCAGCTGAGTCTGCATGAGCCAGGTTATAAATCCCCTGGGTATAAATCATGACTGGTGGCTCAATAAAGGTTCACACAAAGTTTTAAGTGCACTGTCCCCTGTCCATCTCTTCTTTGACAGGCTTCAAGAGGCCTTAATTCCTTAGGAAAATTGCAGCATTATAACCAAATATTTCATAGAGCAGCCACAAGGCCCCATTACTGCAGTATTAGGACTCTTTTTAGATGGTTAAATTAATTGTGAGGAAGAAATCTGACACAAGGTAAAAACATCTCTTACCCTCACCTTGGTTGCTCTGCTCTGTGTCTCTGGGGAGATGATGAACTCACCTGACCATAACCTCCATTGCACATCTCTAACCCCCAAGTTAAAGAAAAAATAACCATTTAAGTAAAAAAGACCTTCAAGTACACCTGGACTTCATGCAACCAGAATTATCTGAGAATGGAGATCTCCTTTCTGAACACTCCCGGGCTGTAGAAAATTCGGATAGGTGTTCTATTTCTTCAGTATTTTCTCCATTAATGGCCCTACTCGGATAAGAAGGAAACCATCCTCGATTTCATTAATACTAAAAATCAGTATTAAATAAACTACTCATTTAGGTACACACTGTGCATAAATAGCAGGTGCTCTTTGTAGTTTTTCATCCAAGCTGCTTTTGTAGTCACCACATTTTTCCTTTGCTGTTGCAGGTTCCTACCAGCCAAAAGAAAGAAGGTGTTTATGATGTGCCAAAAAGTCAACCTGTAAGTGTAAGTATCTCCCCTATTTATATACAGTAAAGGAAGTGTTGTTTTTGGCTTCTGTGGCTTTCGTTATTTTCTGTAATGTTTGATACATTCCTTGTGGTGTGACTTTTGTCAGTGATGCGTTATGGGTTGGTGGGGACTGTGATGTCACTTATATCCATCTCATTCATTGCTTGAGTCTCCTTTCTGTCTTTTCTCACTCATTTTTAGGCAAGTCACCATTTGTAAATCTGTTATTTGTGGTTAGAAGTTGACAGCAAGCCTTCTGCCTTTAATGCTTGAGATGCTGCCTGGTTTAAAAGGGTTCCTCTGGTACCCAAATGTGTATTATTTCTGTAGTGCTCTAAGTATACAAGAAACAAAGCTTAATTCAGCTCAATTTTTTCTATCCTGTGCTTTGTGTGGGCAGGAAAATATTAAAAAATAAGGGTAATATGCTGTTGTAGCCAAAAAACACCATTCCCATTCTGTGTATTGGCATTTTGAAAAGGTGAAGCATTTATTCCCAAAATATGTAAAAAATGGTAACAAGAGTTTGAGAGAAGTGACAGATGCCTTAGAACAAGGTGTGTGTTTGCTGAAGGGTAGGTTATGCTGTTAAGTAGAAATTTGTGCTATAAATGCCTCAAGAAATTGTTGGATTGCTTTGGTTACACAAAAAATTAGTATTTCTGAGGATCTGTGTGAGAGTGGAGAAAAGACAAGGAAAAGAATTTCAGAATTGTAGTGGGAGAAGCATGGGGAAGATGCCTGTGTTCAAGAGAAGGAGACTTTTTTACACCTGGATATGGTGGTTTGCACAGCGACCAAGATGTGGAATGAAAAAAGAAAAATGCTGTGAAGGAGCTGGATGGGGACCTGGACTGTGACTTCTGGGCTTTGCACAACCAAACAAACAAACCCTGCCAGAAACATTTCACCATGAGCTGGTAGGAGCAGGGAGGCATCTTCATGTTGCCTGCAAAAATCTGGTGGAATAACTCACACTGCATCACTGATTGAGGCATTTGTGTGCATGGAGTAGCAGTTGATTTTCCACTTACTTTTCATGCAGTTTTTCATATAGTTCAGTGGTACCATTTTTCTGCTGTGCTTTTCCTGTGACTCTTTTATTATCCCTTCAGTGATGCTTCAATTTCATCCAGGGTACAGTGTGTAATTTAGGTTTTTGCTGTGTGGCTGGTTGTGCAGTGCTTGCAATCATGTCTGCAGACACTCTGGTACTACCCTGTCCTGTAAATAGCAGATGTAAGATACAGGACTCGTGGAACCTACTCTGTAATCATCAAATACATTTAATCTGCCATCTCCATGAAGCTAGTGGCACCTTTTTTTTTTTTTTTCCTGCTAGTTCTTGGTTAAATTTAAAGGGATTAAAGCTTTTTCTCTAATCAACTTCTGTACATTAATTAATGAAGAAAAGGAGAAGAGGAAGAAAGAGGTAGCTGAGATCCTGTTTCACCTTTTTATATTAGTATGTATTAAAAGAAAAAAAAAAAGAGCAATAGCTCTTAAAATTAGCAATTTAATATTCCACTGCCCATCTGATTTATTGCTCACCCATCTACAAGTGAGACTCTCTGTCATTGAGACACTTGCCATAATTTTGTTTTCAATTTATAGCTGTCATTATTATATAAACCTCTAAAATTCAATCTGAGGGCAAATAATCATGCTCATGTACCTGGTTTAAACATGTAAGGACACTTCCTTTATTAGGAGATCTTGATTTCAGTAATTTCATAATGGATGAATGAAGTGAGGAACTTTTTTGTGGCTCCTGATAGGTTTCAGGCACCATGAATTCTCTCTGCTGACAATACATTCAGCTCTTAACAACAATGCAGCAAGTTTTGGTTGAATTCAGGCTGAATTGCCCACAGCCCCTGCACAGAGATGAAGTTTCCATCTTGGGATTGTTTTCCTCTGGTGTGTTCCCAGGCAGTTTCAGTCTCTGAACAGAAAAGTGAGGGATATTGAATTGGTCATCCAGGTGTCCTCCAGCCTTGTTTCTCTGTAGCCAGTGGAGAGAATTGGCCATTTCTGAGGTTGGATTAGCCTTGGAACAACCTTGATTGGGAGAATTCTCTGCCTATGGCAGGGGGTTGGAATGAAATGATCTTTAAGACCTCTTCCAACCCAAACCATTCAGGGATTCTCTGATTCTGTGGAATTCCTCCTGTCTGCACAACGTGTCCCTCTCAGATGGAAATAAATGTACAACTGCACATGGTTCTTTTGTGGCTGCAGATGAATTTTAAATGACCTGCAGCTATGATGGCTTCTAAACGTTAGGCTTAGGTAGGGTGAGATCCACCACAGTGTAGAGACTTGAGGGCAGAATCCCCATTTCATAGGCTGCTTTGAACATGGGCAGTGTGATTCACACTGATTTTCAGTAAGATACAGCTTCCTAAGGCACCAGAACCATTTGGGCAAATATTTCTCCACGGATACGGGATCCCACTGAGGCAGAAGGTGTAAAGCATCTCCCTGGTGATGCCAGGGAGGAGCAGGAGAGTTCAAAATTGTGTATTCATGTACTTAATGATGCTGTGCCATTGTGTGAGGCCGTTTGTCAGCAGGTGTCAAAGTGCTTTATAGCCTGGCTCCTCATGATCTCTGATATCAAATAATGTAAATACGGAGCAAATGAGGCGGAAAGGAATGAGCCTCATCCCGGGACTGGAACGGACCCACTGAACTCAATTATCAGCAGTGGCTGCTTGCCAAGTCACTGCTCTGACATTGGGATGGAAAGATTGCTTACTCAATGGAATTCTTGTGTTTCCCCACCTCTCTGCTGCATCCCTTCCCAGCAAATACTGCTCTCCCATGGTTTTCCTCTGCTGGGTGTGCAGCTGAGCTCCAGACACACACTTCCCCTGGAATTCAGTTCCCACCCAGTACCTCTCCCTTCCTCTGTATTAACTCACATTTCTTGAATTCATTCTTATTTTCTCTCTGCTCTGTCCTTGGAACAATTCTCCCATTCCCCATTCACTGAGAGTAGACATCAAGACAAAGAAAGCAGGCTTACCCTAAATTCTTCTGTTAAGTGGTGCATGCTCCACTTAGAAATTCTAGTTCTGTGTGTGAAATTAACTGTTCTAAAAAAAGGAAAATGTTTAATGATCTCTTTTTGTCATAATTTCCCTTCGTCTCCCCATTAAACATCCACATCAAGTTCTACCTGTCACGGTGTTTTTAGAAATAAGAGTCAGGCTGTAAAATACCCTTCACAGAACCTGTCAGTCATGTCACAATAAAACCTTCTCTCCTCCTCAAAATGTCTAAACTATCTGCTTAACAATTTCATGGAGGCTTTCAAACAACTCATCTCGCTGCTGTGTAAAGATCCAAGGTATCAGAGGTGGAGCCTCACAGTGCAGGCAGGCATTTGGCTGGTGCCAGCTGTGTGGGGAATATCAAACCAGGCTGGAACAGAAGGAGAAATTCCACTGTCTTAGGACGTGGTGTGGGAGGAGTGGATGAAGCTGGACCTGAGCACACTCAGGTTTAGAAGCCACAAGACCTGCCCGGTGGTTCTGGTGTGTTTGGGAAAGCTCAGCTTTGATTCTGGCTGGGATTGCAGTGCCATTCCCACATCTGGCTTCTCCCAGATGTGGCTTTGCAGAAACAAAGAAAACTTGGACACTGGTGATGCTGACTTCAGCCTCCACAGTCAGGCTTCCAGGACCAAATTCTCAGAGATGAGGAGAAAGGGAGTGCACAATCCTGGTCTCTGGCCTGCTGTACTGGGAGAGCTGTCACATGGAAGTCTGGGTTCTCATCATCTCTTGTGTCTCCCACCTGCAGCTGAAGGAAGCCACCCCTTGTCCCCAGGCTGTGATGCTGACATTCAAGGCCTTATCTTTCCCTGTCCCGACCACATGGCTGGGACCTTGGCACCAGCACCCTCTGTGCCTGGGAATTTCATTATCTTGGGAATGTGTAGCCTGGGAGCAGTGTGGGCCTGGCTCCAAGCTGGAGTCACCGGTGGTCTCTTGATTTGTTAGAGTCTGTCAGAGAAAAGTGGTAATTGAAGCATTTTAAATACCATTTCCTATAAGAGTAAATACCCCAAGTACACAGGGAATTCAGAATTAAGTTCCCTGCAAATGAAGAGAAAATAAACAGATGAGTAAGCGTCTGTTTTGATCATATGAAGAGTTCCTTAATTTAAGGGAAGCTATTGAGCAACAGTAGAGCAATTCAATTCCCTCAACATGCCTCAGTAATCTGGGATGTCAATTATATCCAACAGTCCCAATTCTTCAGCTGTACAGGATTGGCTAACAGGATGTTTAACCAGCACATCCAGGGCTTCCCAGTCACCAAACAAAGGAAACTGGACAGTTGGGAATGCAGTGAAGCTCAGGGCTGCCCTGTAATTCACCCAGGACTTGGGTTTATGGCTTCAGGAGAATTCCCTGAAGGAGAATGGTCATGAAGACTAACTCAGTTACCCTCCTGTCAAACTGAAAAGAGGAACTTTAAACAGGAGAATTCCCATGTCTGTGGGATTCTGAGCACTGGATTTTTACCCTGTGCAGTATCAGATGCCCAAAATGCCTGGATTTTGGATAAAAATCCATCAGTGCTTTTACGGCAGCTCACATTGCTGACGTGACCTGCACTGGTTGGGAATTGCCTCCATCAGTGGAAGTGTTCAAGGCCAGGCTGGATGGGGCTCTGAGCAGCCTGATCTGGTGGGAGGTGTCTCTGCTCATGGCAGGGGGTGGAACTGGATGAGCTTTAAGGTCCCTTCCACCCCAAACCATTCTGGATTCCACAATGAAATGTTCACAGCAGCCTTAAAATGAAAGGGTTGTGCTCAGCTGTACCTCTGTAAATCTGAGATGGTGACAGCAGTCTGTAACTGGGAAAGTTCATGGCATTTGAGGATCTCCAGGATCTGCAGGAAGCTGGAGGTTGCAAAGATATTGACAATTTTTTCCTGACACACATTCTTCTGTGTGTTCTTTTTAATTTGGGAAGTAATTGAGCAATTTTTTGTTGAGTTCCCATGCCTCTCCATTAATTCAGCAGTAGTTCTACAGGAAGACAATGTCTGTGGGATGTTTTCAGGATGTCTCAACCTACCAGACATGGTTTTGATGATGGGTTTAGTCACGATGCTGACATGCTCCTTCACTGTGGTTCTGATTGTTTTTTTAGAATGAATTGTGGTTAATTAGCAAACTGTTTGCAGCTCATGGAGTTTGTAGCAATATCAGCAGTTGTGGTGTAAGGTGCAAACAGCTGGGGCTTTGCTGAGCTGCAATAACCATTTGAACCATCAGAAAAGTTATTTGTCATAGCCAAATCTTTACATGTTCAACTGAAATTAGATAGAAAATCTTTAGTTTGACCAACCGTTTGACTTGTCGTTAGACTTCCATGTAAAATCCGTGTCAGGAAAAGGGGATTGGAGATGCACAGAGGCTGTGGTTGGGTGACTCCTCTTTTGTTTGCTGGTCTGTGTGGTATAGCACTCACCCTGAGTGCAAGAAACCAAGTTTAAACCCCTCTGCTGCCTTAAAAGAGTTGAATAGCTAATACCCAGCACAAAGGTTAATTGCTAATTGCTGCTTATTTGCTATATTTAGTATCCTTCATACTCTTTTTTCTTGTTGAGCTATGTAGCAGAGTACAAGTTAATTACCACAGGTTTTTTTCATGCTTTCGAACACCATCTTTGCTCCATTCTCTGAGATGACAAAACCACATTTTGTGAGATGCTACTTTTATCATGTTGTTTGCAAAAGTACAGCAGTATTAAGCAGGTTTTCTCATGCCATATGTCAGTGTGGATCCCTTGCTGCTGGTGAAAAACAGACTGAGTAGCAGAAGTTGGGTATTCTGTCTTGGTATTTGTATGGAAGTGAAAGAAGAAGGTGCTTCACACTCATGTGAGCACAAGAGCCTTCTTTTAGATTTCCCTTTTGAATTCCAAGCTTCTGCATTGCTTAGAAAAGATGTTTTTCAGAGGACTTGGTGATAAGAGGGAGTACTGGAGTGGATCAGTTTTATGTGGTTTATGAAAGCTGAAGTTCACTTGTCTCTTATCCTTATGGGTGCCTTCCAGCTCAGGAAATTCTGTGATTCTGTGATTACCATTGCTTGTGCACTCCAGCTCCTGGAGTTTTCTCCAGCTCCTGGATAATAAGTTATTTTTTAGTGAATAATGAAAAGTGTCACGAGGAATTCCGCTGCCAGCTTGGTGTGGTTTCAAACTGCTCCTGGCTTCCAGTGGTGCTGCTGCTTTAAGGTCCAGATTTACATATTTTGTGTTTGAAAGATTTACAGAATATCTCACCTGCCTGTATAGGAAGATGGAGCTCCGCTACCAGCTTGGTGTGGTTTCAGACTGCTCCTGGCTTCCAGTGGTGCTGCTGCTTTAAGGTCCAGATTTACATATTTTGTGTTTGAAAGATTTACAGGATATCTCACCTGCCTGTATAGGAAGATGGAGCATCCATGACAGGTTTAATGTCACTGGGCTACAAGGATTAATTGTCTCTCCTCCGCCCCAGCCTGCTCGTGAGGGGCTGGCAAGGTTCTGCTGGCTGAGCTGGAGGGGGTATATTTTGTGTTTATTTGAAAGATTTGAAAGATTTACTGCCTGTATAGGAAGATGGAGCATCCATGACAGGTTTAATGTCACTGGGCTACAAGGATTAATTGTCTCTCCTCCGCCCCAGCCTGCTCGTGAGGGGCTGGCAAGGTTCTGCTGGCTGAGCTGGAGGGGGTGTCACATCCAACACCTGCCTTTTGGGAGGATTAAACCAAGCTTTTGCAGCACCTTGTGGAGGAATCCTCACCTGGAGAAAGACCAGGAGCTGGAGCATCTCTCCAGGCTTCTGGTGCTGGAGGGTGGTGGGCAAAAAGGCGGCTGTCAGAGCACAAAGTGATGAAGTGCTGGCCAAAACTGGGCCCTCTGAAAGCATTCTGCTGTCACTTAATGAGTGTTCTCAAAGTCTCTGGAGTTCTTTGAGTAAACGGACACAGCTTTTCTCACACTTTCCTCACCTGGGGCTGGGGGAACCTCCAGGAAGGTGCAGGGCTGTATCTGTTCCTGATTGTGCTCAGTGACATTATGTTACTTTGGCTTTGCCTTTTCCCACTCTTTTATTTTCTCTTTTCTTCAGCTCTGTGATGAGATGAGGGAGGGAAAAGCATTCTAGGCTGTTTGTGGGCTTTTTAAGTGACATGGAATTGCTGGCTTGTAACCTGTATGAAGCTTCTCAGTCATCTTAGACTTGATTTTCACAGCCTGCTGTTGTTCATGTCTGCAGAAATGAAGTCTCCAACACTACAATAAATGTTACCTGAAATTTAGCCTTCTGAAGTGATAATATGTGCTAAGTGTGTGGATGGGTACAGATATGCACAGATGTGAGGGCAGTATATCCCCACATATATTTACATGCAAACTGTAGATCTAAATAAAATGTGAATTGACATATAATTTTAAAAATTGCTAGAGAAAGAAAATAATTATCCTAATTATGTTTACATTGATATTATAGTTTCTCTAGTTTCTCTAGAGAAATTTGTGGTTTTTACTTGGTTTTAGAGCTTTTGTCATCCAAAACTCAATCATTCTTTTTTCCCCTGAGGATGTTAAATCCCTTCTTTCACCAAGCCAGGGAAAGGTTCCATTTATATAAGCAGGATCAGAGCTCACTGGGTATGCTTACTGCTGAATTAATAAATATTTAGGAAAATAAATAGGTGTGTCACAAGTGGTAAAATTGCTTTATGCACCAGAAGATGAGATTTAGCACAAATGGAGTGTTTGTTTGCCCCACATCCCAGCAGCATTCAGACTCACTGTTTTGACTGCCTGATTTCAGATCTGTGCTCACAGCAAGATGGAAAGGGTTTTCATTTCAATGCTGAAGTCAATAATTATGGAGGTTATCATTTTCATGCTCAGAAATTCATGTCATTTTCATAAATCATTCATCTCATTTCATAAATCATGCTTTACAGCTGGAGAATGGAAACTTATTGCTGGACATTGATGAAAATCTTGTTTCAGTCACTCAGGTAAGGTTGTGACACTAAAAAATATTTTAAGGAAATATAGCTGAAATCATCTATAGGAATAGTGCAATTGGAAAATGTTCAGCTTGGGATTAACTTCACTGGAACGTGGCTAATATCAGATGTGAATAATCTTAATGAAGCATAAGGGGTGAAATCAGTTCTGCAGTGACAGTGAAATCACAGAAATAAAAGATAAGTGCTTGGTGTCCAGGATTTCATGTGCTGCAAGTAGATAAAGGCAGCTCTGTGTCAGAGAAGGTGCATTCATTTATTCAGGCTGAGAACTGGGTTGTAGAAAAAAGACTCCTGAACCATTTGGGACTTCAAAATGCACCTCTAAGGGTTGCTGGTTAAAGCTCCAGTCAGTAAATGAAGGTGTTGTGTTCCCACTAAATTTGTGTTTACATTCTCTGATGTGGTTCTGTAGCTCCTGTTGTATATGAGGTTGATATTCTGTAAAAAAATAATTCCCCTGTAAATGTATTTCTTTTTCCTGGGGAATATTGGGAGTGAGGGTTTATTATAACAAAGTGCTGTTGACTTTCCTATCACTCTCTCCAGCTGCCTGTTTAGAAATGTGTCTGCAGTGCTTTAACAGAATTATATCTGTGAAGAATATCCAAAGATCCATCACCTTGAAGCAGTCTGAAAAGTATTACTATTCCCATTATCCAGGAGTATGGAGGCACTGAGCTACCACCTTTCAGATGCATGTCATATAATCCAGAGTTCAAAAGTATACTGACTATCAATTTCCAGTATTCCTGGGAAACCTATACATTTTTTCCACAAAAAAAAAAAAAAAAAATATATATATATATATATAGCTTTGCACACAGCTGTGTGTACCCTGCCCTTTCCCATCCTCCCTGGCTTGCTCATCTCCTCCCTTTTGCTCATGGAAAGGACACAAATTTTCCTTAGGAGCAAACAGTGAATAGTTCCCGAGGGGGACAGGGGAAGGGCAGATTTGGGGTGCTGCTAAACAAGCAGTTTGGAGAGGTGAGAAGAAAGTGGCTCTTGGAGTATTTCAGTGTCACCTGACACCTCTTGAGGCAGCAGTGCCTACAGGAGGCTTGAAGTGATTTCCAAATGAGTGCTGCTGTTGTCATTATTCCCACTTCCCTGGGCATTTTAACAACCCTTGCCTAATGTATTTGTGCACACTGCAGAAGGGACTTAGGCTGGGTTTGTTGCTTGTTTGGGATTTTTTTGCAAAAGCTACTTAGAACTGGTGTACCCTGAAGAAAATGGGGCTTTCCCTCTTTTTCCCTTCTGCATTTCCATGTAGATACTTAAAGGGATTTATAAAAGCATAAGAAGAAAATGCTTTGTCATAGCACTAAAGCAATGTGATCTTTTTAATATGAAATATGATGTGAGAAAATGTGAGATAAGTCATCCCTGGGTACGTTGTGATGTGAAGCTGAGAATCAACAGAGCTGCTCAGACAAATTCCAGTTCTAACTGATTGTGGTGTTGCTTTTGTGTGTGAGAATAGATGCTGGATTGAAAAAAAAAAAAAGTGTATAAACTTTTGATATGTGTAATCTTGCTCCTTAAGGGATAATTTTTAATTGAAGGTTAAAGGCAGGAAAATATCTTGGGGTGATCTTGATCTCTTGGAAGGCTGTAAAGCCTGACCTGCCAGTCTGGTTGCTGTCCAAAGCATTCAGGGGCTCCTTATGCAGGACAAAACTCAACTGATTTCAAACCTGTCTGTGTGACAGGAGGATCCAAGGTTTATGTGCCTAAGATGGGGAAGAGATTCAATGAGCTAAACTAAGATTTGCGTTAAATCTTGTTCATAATGAGAATTGTGCCTTCCCACATTTTGTGGGTGTGATAGTGGGAAAGCCAGTAAGAAAGGTAGTGAGAAGAGAAAGTTCTGGGTTCTCACCAAAGCTTTCCAGTATAACCACCCTGATAAGGGTGGTAGATGGAGTTTAGGTTTCCTGCAGAGGAATCTTAGGGATCTGTGCTTTAACATCCCTGAACTCCAGCTGAACTCATTTGCAGGTGGGTGGAAGGGAGTAAAAGTTGCTCTAGAACATGTGAAGGAGCTTTGATTATGCAGCCACTCAAGCTGCTTCTTATAATAAAATGTGTTTTCTTTTCTGGTCCAGTTAGCCAGGCCTGCATGGGTGACCTGTTTTGAGTTCCCAGTGAAGGGCATCCCAAGGAAATATTTCTAACAAGAATTAAATGTACAGCCACAAACTCGCAATAACCCATTTGTGCATCCTCCTTCAAGTCCACTTATCCAGGTCACACCTGTCCCATGGGCAAGGGGAAATCAGGCAGCACTTTAAAAGCCCTTCCCTTCTGTATCTTGCTGCTGCCATGCTGTAAGACCTTGGAGTGAGGGTTTAGAAGAGAAGCCAGGGAAAAGGACTGGCCATAAATCATGCTTGGAGCTCACTGATGTTAAAGGCAGAGCAGTAATGCATCCAGTCCTGCTCTGGATAGTTGTTTTATGTTTTATTCTTTTTTTTTCTCTTTGGAGCATTCCCTACAGAATTGTTTTATAGCGAGTTGTTGGCTATTTGGGTGCATTAGCAATATTAAAATCCCACAGCTTGAGCCTGTGTGCTTCCTCCATGTGGGACTTCACGGTTGAAGCCTGCAGGACTTTGGGGAGGTTTATCTTGTTTGCTGTTACCAGAGAACTTTACAAGTTGTAACTACTTGACTCATAGTTTCTTCTCCTCAAAAGATAAATGGATTTTTTTTTTTCTCTTTACAGGCTGTTACCCAACTAGAGCTTTTTGGGGACATGTCCACTCCTCCTGATGTAACCTCTCCCCCAGTGAGTACCCAGGGAAGCTGCACTGTGTTTTTCCTGCGTGCTATTTTCAGCACATTTATTGAGCACATTTACAATTTGTGTCCTCAGCCGTTCCAGTGGGGAAGACTTCAAAGTAGTTTTTAGGTTGCAGGAAAATAAAAGTGAAGTAAATTGAACGTGCAGTCCCTGCTCCACAGTGATGTGCAAAAATACCTTTGATTTTTATTTTTCTGCTGTGGTGTTAAGTGTCACAGAGGGATGCAACCTGAGCTGCAGATCTGCTTCCCTGGTGTTTGTCAGAGGGAAATGCTTCACTGCACTCTCACTGCACTGCTGAAGATCCACTTACAGCTTCATATTTTATGTCTCTGGATCCACCAAGCAGAGATCCCAGAACTGCTGTTAAAGGAGGGAAGTAAAGACAGAGAGAAAGGGCTGGATGTCTTTTAAGGGCAAAAAATAATGTCTCAACATGTTTTGCAGCATTATGAGATGACAAAAAATTCTCATATAAAGCTTTAGAGCCTTGCATTAAGCTGTAGGGAAGTGTGAATATACTGAGAAAATTCAGGTGCTGCTGTGAGGTCAGGAGCCTGAGATCTCCAATATATTCTGGATCATGTCTGGGACTAGATGTTCAAAGCCCTTTCTGTTCATCCTCAGCTTACTCAATTGGATTTGGCTTCTTCTTTAATGTAGACCTATGATTCTGGTCCTGATGGTTAATTAGAAGCAATATTTACTCAGTTTTCCTTTAATCCTGTAGGTATTTCATTTGCCTTAACTGTTAATAATAACTTAAAAGTTAATGCCTTGGTCACTGCCTTTCCCTTTTGTCACCTAATAGCTAAAACCACAAGTCTGTATGTTCTGGAGAAAGAAATTATGTCAGTATTTTGGTTGTGATGTATTCCAGGCAAATTTCACCTTGATGTTTTTTCCTCTGATAGAAAGCTTCTCAATGTCTTTCTTTTTCTCCCATCTCCAGCAAATTCCAATACTTTTATTTCTATTGCTTCTTTCCTTCTACATCTTCCAATTCTTTCTTCTTTCTCATTCTTCACTCCAAGCCTGGATTTTTAGAGCTCCAGGTGATGTGACAGCAGTGTGCAGCAGAAGCTGCAGCTGAAACCTCACCCTTGTGTTTTCTGCCTGTCTCCCTGCAGACTCCTGCTACTCCAGGTGATGCCTTTATCCCATCTTCATCCCAGTCACTCCCTGCTAGTACAGACATGTTTGGCTCTGTACCTTTCAGCACTGCTGCCGTACCCTCAGGTAAGGAATGCACTGGAATTAAAGTCTGGAATCAGATCTGGGGATCAGTGCCCAGCTCTGGTTTGAATTTCAGTACTCAGGGCATTGATTTTAGCAGGGTGGAAGTGGGGAAGGCTTTTGAGATCAGTGCTTCAGGGCAAGGCAAAGCAAGCAGGGAATACATTCGTTTGAATTTGCCTACATTTTTTAAAGTAGAAGCCAAAAAAGTCACTGGTAGTTCAAGCATAGTTCAGCCACCTGGACAACAGAACTTCTAGGTGTAGGAGAAAGAGAGGAAACAACATTTAGTTTAAATTTTGGGGGTTCTGTGGTAGCAGTGAATATCCTCTGCTGTCTCCAGTAAACAGAGGCTGAGAATTTGATTGTCTGGATAACAGAACTTCTAGGTACAGGAGAAAGAGAGGAAACAGCATTTAGTTTAAATTTTGGGGGTTCTGTGGTAGCAGTGAATATCCTCTGCTGTCTCCAGTAAACAGAAGCTGAGAATTTGATTGCACTTCAAATGTATTCCACTTTGTCAAATCCTGGAATGTTCTCTAGACTTCCCTGGGTTCCTCAGAGTGCTCAGAATTCAAAAGCTGGGTGCATTCTGCACAGACACTCTGGTTTGATGGCTGATCTCTCCCAGTGCTCTCAGCCCCACTTAGGAAAGGGAAGGAGGATAAGGAGGAGGAGGAGTGCCTTGAATCATTCAGCAGTGACTTTCTAATTGGTTGCCTCCTCTGATGGCACCAGATTAGCCACTGCACCTCAGGCAGGTTACAGGGGCAGTGAAGTGTTTGGGGCTAATGTCAGATGGAAACCTTCTCTGCTGGGCTGGGGTCACCATGGGAGTAAGATCATCTGGAGAATCCATCCCGGACATCTGTTGGAACAGAAATGTATCTGAGCCACTGCTCCTTCCATCACTCAGGAGCTGAGTCTCTCAAAGTTCGGTTCCTTATTTTTGCATTTTATTGAGTTTTGGGCTTTTCCTTATACAATATAGCAGGCACCCTTATGTTTGTAATTACAAAACAGCCTAGAGAAAAAGGTACAGGAGGATTGGGGAAACACTCAGGTTGGAAACAAGAGTTTTAAAGTTTGCTATGACAGTATTAATAGAGAGAGAAGTTACATTATGCAAAGTATTAGTGGTAGGGAAACACTCGGGTTGGAAACAAGAGTTTTAAAACTATGACAGTATTAAAATAGAGAGAGAAGTTACATTATGCAAAGTATTAGTGGTAAGTATTGAATTTAAATGTGAAACAGCATATCTGTAAAGCACAGTACTTGTATCAGTGGAACATAATTATGTTAGGTAGTTTAATTTGTAAAATATTTTACAGGAGTTTTAGTTTCAGAGCACTTTGTTGTTGTTGTAAATAAAAAAGCATCTGATCCTATAATTCCTACACAGTCAAACTCTTGGTAGCTTTAAAGGAGGCTTCAGGTCTGACAGGAAGCAATTATAATTTTGGATTTAACCATTAATTTCCTCCTCAGCTGGAGGGGGTTATGTTAGCCTAATACCTGAAGCAGTTTGTTGTTAATAGGTATTTAGTGCAGCAGAAGCTCAAGATCTTTTTGATGTTCTCAAGTAATTGGGTAATAACCAAGTGTGAGGATTTTAATCTGAAATCATGTGGGTTGGATTTCTTTATTATTAATAGTAGTAGCAGCATGAGATGATTGCTTTGCAGAGTCCACCAGCCTGTGGTTCTGTCTGTGAGTACTTGTGCAGTGATGCAAATTCAGTGTTCTCAGTTTTCTTTCCAAGTGTGCTGCAGCCAGGTTCACTGGTGCAGCTCTGCACGTTTCTGATTTACTGCGTCGCTTTTCCCGCGTGCAATTCAAACCTTCCATCCCGTTTGTTTCCCCCCTCCTGCTCTCTTTGTTCCCCAAAGGTTATGTTGCCATGGGAGCTGTCCTGCCCTCCTTCTGGGGACAGCAACCACTTGTTCAACAGCAGTTGGCCATGGGTGCCCAGCCTCCAGTCGCTCAGGTGATGCAGGGAGGACAGCCCATCGCGTGGGGCCAGCCCGGCATCTTTCCTCCCACCCAGCAGCCGTGGCCATCCGTGGCTGGCCAGTTCCAGCCCACTGCCTTCATGCCAACACAAACTGTTTTGCCTTTACAAGCAGCCATGTTTCAAGGTACCATTGCTCCTATAGCCACCGTCCCACCCACGAGCGATTCCAACAGATCGAGTCCGCAGACAGACAGGCCCAGACAGAAAATGGGAAAAGAAATGTTTAAAGATTTCCAGATGGCTCAGCCTCCACCAGTGCCATCAAGAAAACCAGATCAGCCTTCCCTCAGTTGTACCTCAGAGGCCTTCTCAAGTTACTTTAACAAAGTTGGGATGGCACAGGAAGCAGATGATTGTGATGACTTTGACATCTCTCAGTTAAATTTGACTCCTGTGACTTCCACAACACCATCTACAAATTCACGTGAGTATTTATGTGCTTTCAGCCATCCCTTTCCTCAGACATGACTGCTCCTCAAAGCACTTCTGTCTCTTTTTAAATTCCAACCCAGATACTGAGAACCTTCATGCATGCTCTGGCTTAAGAAATATGTTCCAGCCGTAAAGGAAAATACCATAGAGGAATTTCAGAGGTCATAGAAATGAACAGCACAGACAGCTACAGTCTGAAATTTCATTTCTAAAATTAAATGTTACAATATTTGTTTTGTGATGGGAACATGCAAGCTGGTTGGCAGAAGCCCATGGCATTCAACCTTACAACTGGTTTCACTTATGTCCCATCCATACTTCTCAGAAATTAGGGGATGGGTATTTATTTTAGTAGCTTGACATATTGGACACATGGGGAAATTGATTGGAGAGCTGTAAAATCAGCTTATGGTGTTCATAGCATGGCAGTGGGGGATTTTCTTTTTTCAGCAGATTGCTGAAAAGTGAAATTCATGAGATTCACCAGAGGTCAGTCAGAGACCTGCTTCACTTACCTGTCACAGGGCAGGTGACTCACACATTCCTATTGTAATGTAGTGGTGTCTCCCACCTTCATAAAGACATAGGCCAGATGCAGCCAAACTTAATTTGGAAGTTGCCAAGTGAAGTCAAACACAGGGGATTGATAATGACAACTGTGCCCAAATTTAACTCCTGCAGCTCCTTGTTAGAGAATGATTCTCAGGGGTGGTGAAAGTTGAGGGATGTAAAAGTGTAAGCAAATTTTGTGCTGAAGTGTCTTTTTGAAGAAATCAGCAGAATAATTGTTGCTGTTGCCTTAATCCTTGTTTAGCTCCAACCCCTGCACCCAGACAGAGTTCTCCATCAAAATCATCAGCATCTCATACGAGTGACCCTGCTGCAGACGACCTCTTTGAAGAGGGGTTTGAAAGCCCAAGCAAAAGTGAGGAGCCAGAGGCTGTGAGTAGCAAGGTTTCTAAATCTTCATTGTCTCCTTTTTACTAGAAAAGAGAAAAGCTGATAAAGTGTTGTTCTGTAGTGTCAGAAACAACTTTTCCAGTAGGGCTGGGTGGTAGAGCTTGTGGGGAGCTGCAGCCAGAATTCCTGTCCTGCTTTGGGTTTGACAGCTGATAGCACAGCATTTCTGCTGATGTGCACTAACAGTACATACAAGGAACCAAACTCACAGTTCATATGTAAAGCTGTACATGTTAGATGTATCCAATGCCCTCTTTAGCACACCAGCAGTCACTTTACTCATGGTAAGGAAGTTTGGGGTAAAACAACAAACATGCTGAGGCAGCAAAGATGTGAGGGTTTGTGTGTTAAAGATGATGGTTGGTGTTGTCTTGCACATTCTTGCATCCCAGTTGCTTGCCTAGCTACGTTCCTCAATGTTCTGGCCCTCAGTTTGTGATTTCTTTACCTTTATGGACCAAAGCAAGAAATGTTATCCAAGCAATGACTGTCAGTCACCAGGTGTCTTAGGGAGGGAGGAGCCCGAGTGAGCCAAAGGCAAGAGGGTGTTGGTGCAACAAAAAGTGCAAAATAACCCAAGCTTGGACTCTTTCTGTTTCACATGGCTTTCAGGGCCTTTTGCAGTTCTGGTTGGCCTGATCCAGTACCTTCTGAAGTCTGTGGCAGCTCCTGCCTGGGCTCCAGCAGGAACTGGTGAGGTCCTTTGGTGCCTGCAGCAGCTGTAGGAAACCGCTACGGCTTTGGAGAGCGGCGAGGCCTCACTCTCTGGTTTTCATGAGATAGGATGTACTTGTTATGCCCACAGCATGAAAATAACCTCGTGTTGACTTTTCACTTTCTATTGTTGAGAAAAAAAGGTGTTATGTTCTTGTATTCTAGCCTGATGGGTCTCAGGCCTCCTCCAACAGTGATCCCTTTGGTGAGCCAACTGGTGATACTATAAGTCCACAGGTCGGTAGCTAGATAGCACAGGTTGGGGTAGGTATCTGTCCTTTTTTTCTCTACACCTTGAGGTGTTCACTTACTCTTCCACCAGTGCCTGCCATTGCTTTCATGGATGCATGGTTTATTTTTTCTTTTTTCCTTTTCATCTCTTCTGTTTTACCTCTCCATCCTCCGCAGTGTATTCCTCGTGCTTGGTGGTTTGCATGGCTTTTGCCATTCACTGAGTGTTGCAGCTTATGCAAATATGTGTGTTTCAGCTGCCTGCATGCTTTAAAGAAATGTAGACTTATTTTACTTTGTGTTCCAATTCTGAGGGCAAGTAGGGAAACTGAGCCATTATTAACGACATAATAGGCAGAGCATTTTTTTTTATCAAAGCCACCCTGGTCTTCAGTCAGATGTAACATATTAAATGGAATAAGACATCTTACCCATAGACATAACAATCATTAAATAAAATTATGTAATGATACATGAATGTCTCTACCCTAAATCAATGGGATAATCAGTAGAAGAAGCACATTTATTATCTGCATGTAAAAAATATTGAAATGGGTTTGTGTATTTTTTATCTCCAACTGCAAATTAAAAACATCTGAAAATTATCATCATTCATATTACCATTGGCATACTGATGTTTTAAAAATTATTCATCAATGTAAGTGATTTAAACCCAGACAGACGGGAAAGATGATCTGTTCATCTTTTGTGTTACAGAACACGTAGAAAATGTGGCTGCCTGTGAATGTTCTGTGATTTGTTTCAATACAGTAAATATATTTTGCCAAAAAAACAGTGAGGCTACAAAGTTTATGAGTGCTGAGTGTTGTTATTCCATCCAAATACTCTCTAGTGTTGCTGTTTGAAGAATATGTTTCATTATCTTCTCCCCGTCTGCCACTCCTGTTTGGTATTGCCCAAATACATGATCTGATACGGCTTCTGTGCTCCAGCACAGAGCTCCTGGAGCAAATCCAGAGCAGTGGGAGAACCCTTCCCATTTCTGTACAGAAATTCCTCTGGGTTTGCCAGTGACTTACCCATCCTCAGTTTAGTTTCAGCTCAAAATTAATAGTTTCATTAGGAGTCAGTTTACTTTGTGCATTAAATATGATTTTACAAAACCTTACAGTAACTTAGCTTTGATCCACTTGGGAATAATGAAGTTCTCTCTTAATAACATGTGGTGCTGTGAGAGGGCATCTCCCCCTTCTGTAGCTTCACCCATGCTCAGCTCCTGGGCTGCAGCAAGAGCAGCATTAAGCTTTGTGTCTCCTTGAGTCCAGGAGTGACAGTGTGAGGAGAAAGTCAAGCTGGGATGAGCTACTCCAGCAAGAACATTCATTATTTACTCCAGTGAGAGCTGCTGCTGCAGATGGATGGTGCCACTTGATAATTTGGCTGTGCTTTTGCCTGACCTTGGCCAGCACTGACATCCCCAGCTATCCCAGCTTCAGACCACTCCAAGAGTTCTTCCCTACATCATGAAAGAGAATTTGCCCTTTATCTGAGTCCCACACTCTGGAAACCCACATACATGTGTTTATTATGGTTTATCACAGGGTGGTTCTGCAATTCAGAGCTACCAGGACAGTATATTACCAGTGCTTACATATGGTTTTGCTGCATTTTTAGTTAATCCCTGTACAGCCTCGCATCAAATATGTATAATTCCCAGAAATATATGCTGGGAAATGTTAACTAATGTTCCTGATTATCGTATTACAGTAATTCCTGAGAGCTGTAGGCAGGAACAGGAAGCTGAACAAAAAAGCAAGCCTCTCTCCAGTGAAGTTCCACTAATATCATTGTGCCTGTGTGCAGAGCCATTCAGCAGCAGTCTGTAGGAAATCCACTTCCCAAGGCCAGCCCAGCTAATTCTGAAGCCTGGTGTCGTCAGAGCAACGGGAAGTCTAATCTCCATGGAAAATTATCAATTCAGGACTTACTGTGGAGTTGTGTATTGAGCTCTGCATTTGGAGAGAAACTTAATGGGGAGAAACATGTCGTGCAAAAGAATCACAGTCTGCATAAAAGCCACTTTTGTAGCTTAGATGGGAGATTACTTCGCTCTTTAGAACGTGGTTCTTACCCCAAGAACTGCACAGTAACAACTCAGCTGAATGGACCTCTCAGGAGAGCATTGTGTGCAGAAATGTCAAATCTGTCTGTTCCCAGATCTCTGAAATCAGCTCTGCCCATACCATATCTTTATTTATCTTGATGTATTCAGAATACCCACCTGCCTGGTTTTTTGTACTCAGATCTTTCAAGGTACCACATCAGTTTGGTATCTTGATTCCTTCTGATAGTCTAAATTATCATCTAGTTACTATCTTCTTTTCTGCTATTTTTCCTCTTTTCCTTTTGCAATCTTCCACTTCAGCTCTCAAAATCCTCATCCTTCCAGAAGCAGCTGTTTCTAGAAGTCACCCTTCCAGAAAAAGCTGTGAACTCTTAGTAGGTAAATGTGACATTTTATGGATATATTACATTTTTGTCCCTTTATGGTTAAAGATAAGAAGCAGAAAGGCCCAACTTCCACAGGTGAAATAAGATTAACTCTTTGCAGAGCTGTTTGTTGTATGTGGTTGTTTCCCCTTTGTTCATGCATGCTGTTGAGGACAGATAGTGATTTTGCAGAAGAGGTGAAGAGAATACAGAATGACTGCCACCTTCAGATTATTTATGTTTAATCCCCACTGCTGTCTTCAGATTATGTGGGGAGTAATTGTGGTGAAATGAGAGAGGGGGAAAGAACTGTTTCTTAGCTGTGAGCCTACGAAGTGTCTTAAACATTTCTTTTTGTTGGCATTTTACATTAAAGCAGGGAGTTTGAACAGAGGAACAAACACAGCTCTGTTGAGCTGCTGCCTAGCTCAAAACTTGCACTGGCAATCATTCATGAGAGATTCTCAAGAAACCTTCAAAACATTTGTGGCTAGAGCATATCTCCCTGAAAAAAAATTCTTCAGTTGTTCTGAGAAATGTGTGCAGACAATGAAGAGCCCTCAAAACGTGTCACACCCTTCACAATGCCATCAGCACTGTCAGGAGAGCAACAGTTCATTAGAATATTTGTCTATCAGCTTTTGGTGGTGCTTTGGTGGCCCACTGCCATCATCCATCTTGGAGCAAGTGCTGTGCTCGGTGATAAATGTTCCTAAAAATCTGAGTCAGCTCCGGGATGGGCTGCTGTAACTCTTTTATTTGGGCTGGTTTTAGGAAGTGGAGAGAAAAAGCAATTTATGGAGAAAGCCTTGTGTTACCTGGGAGCTTAGTGAGCCTCAGGAGGTAACATCAAGCTGATTGTGCATCCTCGTCTTACTTCTGCCCCTTTTCTGTTGCACCAGGACTCCAAATAGGTTCAAAATACTAAAGGCTGTATTTGCAGGACTCTTCCAGTCTTTCACCTGTCTCAGTCAGAACTGGATAAAGTCCAAAGAGAAATTCCTAATTACAGGTGACCTGTTCTTGCTGTAGGCTCTAAAGCCGTAATTTTCTAACTGAAGACTGAGCAGGGCTGGGAACCTGAGAGAAGTAGTGTTGTGTCTTTGGAAGGGGATCACAGGTTGGGACATCCTGCTTCACTCCAGAGAAATCTTAAAATTAACATTTCAGGTCTCCTGCCCAGTTGGTTGTTTCTATTTCCCAGAAATATGGAGGGTCATGAGCAGAGAAATTCAGGCTGCTCTGTGAGCAGGGGCATCCTGTTTGTCCTCATCTCTGCTGCTGCAGTCTCCTTCAAGCTGTCCATTTTCATGTGCCAGCTCATACAAGGGCCTCTCACCTCTTCAGTGTCACCAGCCCACCTGAAGTCACCTTGTACATTTCTTCTTTCTCTAAACAAGAGACAGTGTTCTTTGTAGCTTGTCTAGAACTGTGTTCTTGTTGATTTGCAACCCAACATTCAATTTAGGGACAAGCTCTCCTCACTTCCTCTGTGATGAGGTCATGCCTGTCTTCTGCACGACAACTGATTTTAAAAATCTACTTGTGAAAATTTAGCATCTTTGAGACTTCTGAACAATTTGCTTCAAATTGGCCATTAAGTTCGATTGTTATGAAGGAGAATTGACAGATATGTAGATGGGAGGATATGTGGATGACAGATCTGTAGATGGAAATAATTGTGTGGCTACTGTTTTGGGAGAGGGGCCCAGAAATAATCAGTGTTTCTTGGCTGCAGTTCATTTTTATATCAGGACTAAGATATGGAGCAGGTTCATCTTTCTGAGTAGTTGTCACTGCATTTTCATTTCATGGATGTACAGCATCCATCTTGCTACTAAAACAACAGAGATTTTTAGAATGCTAATAATTAAACTGGATATTTAAGACAAGGAGATATTCCTAGGTAGGTTTATGTTAAGAACAGAGGCACTCTCCAGGCATAATCCTGAACTAGAAGGTCGCTGTATTTATGCTGCTAATGGAGGCTGTAAGAAAAACAACCAAATATTAATGAGTAATAATAAGCAATAAATAAAACCTGGCTGTTAATGGAGCAGTAGGAATGAGCTGTCTTATCACCAAAGATATTTAATTTCAACCCTGCTTGCCAACTTTACTCTGTCCTATTTTGCCTACGGGTCAGCATGCAAAAAACCAGAGAAGGCGCTTTGCACTCCCACCCCCTTCACTTGCAACCCCAGCACAAGATGCTCATTTTGTGTGGCTCTCCAGCACACTTATTTCATGAAACTCTTTATCATTTGAGCCTGCCCTTTCTGATCAGTCAGCCAGGATAAAAGTGGCTGTAAAGGGTATGGAAATCTGTGAGGGCCTCACCTCCTCAATTGAGAGCATCTTCCCTGCAGCTCTGCACGGAGCAGGCGCCTTGCAGTGATCAAAGTGCTGCCAGGGTAAAAATAGTTTCTTCCTAACCCACAGTTATGTTTTCTGAGTGAGTTCACCCCTGCAAGCCCGAGTGGGTCCTGAGTCTTTCAGGAGATGCTCTCCAGTGATTAGTTCTGCTGGGGAGCAGGTGTTAATATCTTCAAATGGGATGCAAATTCACTTCTAGCATTTGCATAATGTTATTCTAAAGCGTTAGCACCCTTGTTGCCTCACACAGTAGTGGACTGCATCAGAAATGGTGTTTGCTGCTGTCTTGTCCCTCTTAAAATGGGAAGGATAAAGTGATTTGCAGCATGAAGTATTTCTGGAATATAGCAGCAAAAAAAAAGTGCTTCCAGTTCTTGTCTTGGTTTCTCCCTGTGGGTTGATGAAAGCACCTCAGAAGTGATTCTGGGCCAGTACAGCAAGGAGAACACTGTGAGATTTGAGAGGTTTATATGAATTAGAAGCTTTGTCTATTATTTTGTTTGTTCCTCTCTTTTTGTTCTGACAAAGACCAGTTCTTTTCTTTCCTTCCCTCTGCGTCTGTTCCTAATGCAGTGGTAGAAGGCAGAAAATGCTGGTGAGATGCTGTGAGAAGAGTTAATGCTCACCTGCCTTTTCATAACAAGCCCTGTGACTTTTGTGTGGATTATGTAAAAAAGGGGGCTTATTTCTGCTTTCAAGACCCTCCAAAATAGTGCCTGTCACTGTGAGAGGAGCTGTCCATGCAGTCAACAGCACTCAACTCTCCTTTTGCCTTTTTCCTGTCCCTTTCTGCTGTCTTTTGCCCTCTTGAGTATCAATATTTTACAGACACCATTTGCATTGTTGGGCTAAAAGCATGCTTGAATTGGCTCAAAATAATACTAGAAAACAAATCTCAGGCATTGACCAAAACCCTTTGACTGGGAAGACTGCACACAATTACTGCAATTAATTTCTCATTTAGGCATCTGAAGGGAGAAATCAACAGAAAGGAAGAAGCAAGAGCGCACTTTTCATGCAAAATGCTCTGGTCTGCTGGAAGAGAAATTATTCAAATCAGTGAGAAATGCAGGCCTTTGCCACATCAAGTGTTTGTACAGATAAATGTTGGGTATGAATCAAAGAAGTTTCTCACTGTAATGGCTGTCTCATGCTTGTTGGAAGTGCTGCTGCTGATGAGGAGCTTCTCCTCCTCCTCCTCCTCTTCCAAGGGCGTGAAGTCCAGTGGCACCTTAGGACACCTGTTACTTCAGCACTTCTGCATATCTGAAGGATATTTGAGGACAGCTCTAACAAGCAGACTTGACATTTTGAAAAGCTCTTTTTTCCCCTGGAGGCGTTTGAAAAACTGACGTCTTTTGTTCCAAAGGGATGTTCTCCCTCCCTCTCCTTTTCTTCTCCTCCTTCCTTTTCACTTCCCTTTGCAATGACCTTAGGTTCAGCAACAGCCTGAAGAATGGCCTGGTGTGTGTCAGGTTCACACATTAATTAGTACAGATTTTCTCTGAACTAGCTGTGATAGATCATTCTGCCAGCTTCAAGCCTGCACGTGAAAATTGGCATAGGTAGACTTAACTCACAGTGTGTGAAAAGCAGTTATTTACTCTCAGTCATCTCCTTTGATTACCTTCAGTTTTTCAAGGTCACAAAATATATTTGCTTCTTGCTGGGGATAATTTCAGCAGCATTTATTTAATCATTCCAGAGGGTTTTTCTCACTCACAGTGCTCATAGTGTACTCAGGGCTCCTCGTGGGCAGGGAGTGGGGAAGCAGGGTGTCTGCAAGCTCCAGAAATGCAGCAATTTTGGGGAATAAGAGACAACTTTCCTTGGCATGGAGGAAACAGGTTGTGTTTTGGATTTGTTGTGTGTTCCTTCACCCTAAGGCAGGACAGGGCACAGGGATGGAGCAGAGCTGGAGCACTGGCCAGGCACCCTGAGCACAGAGCACCCTGTGGATCCACACTGGGGCTGTTCTCCTCATCCCCAGCATCACTTTGACAAACAGTAATTAAAATCCTGTGCCATCCCCTGGCACAGGTCTATCTGTGCTGCGCAGTGCCCAGTGATTTGCCAACTTTCTGGGGTTTTTTTTTGCTCAAAATTCACCTCGTACCAATGCTGCTGTAACACAAGTTTATTCTACCTTGGTTAAATTCAACGTTGTGGCGTGGTATTTGAATATTTATCAAGCTGTGGAGAGTTAATGCAGTGTGGCATTAATTAGCCTTTCTGCCTGTCTTGTTCCTTTTTTAGATGTCATTCTTAGTTTAATAAATTAGTTTCTGGAAATGAAGTAGAGTGGATTTCAGGGTCCACAGATGATTTGCTACCCACCTTGGCCAAGATGAACACAGTGTTAAGAAAGCTGAAGGTGTGTCATCTGTGAAGCAACAGCTGAAGAACATGGCAGCTTTTCCCCCCTCCCACATCCAGGAAATTCCCAAGAAAGTATCTGTTAACCAGTTGACATGCTTTCCTCCCAGCTTTAATGATTGTACTAATGGTTCCACAGACTCCTAATCAAACTGCACAGGGCTCCTCGTTCTTCATGGGCCACTCATGTTGTTGCTTTAAATCCCATCACAGCTTCATTAGCTCAGCTTTCCGTGGCAGTTTCTGTTTGCAAGTGGTTTTCTCCTGAGTTGTGCAAAACCCACAGTTATGTTCTGCTGTTGTGCTGCTGGGGGAAAACTCAGCCTTGTACACGGGCTGCAATTCCAGCCTCTGAACTTCCAAACATCCAGCCCTATAAATTATCATGTAATTCCTTCATATGTCCGTGCCCAGCAGTGAGGGCCAGTGCGTGGCCAGTGCTGGAGGAGGAAATGGATAGAAAACACTCATTTTGTGAAATAATTCCCATTTTCTTCACCACTCAGCCGGGGTGCCATGATCGCTCAAGGCAGCACAGAAAGCAAACACTTCCTGTGGGTTTTGACTCACAAGGTATCGCTGCTCTCAAGCAGATGTTGTAAAAATGTTCTGAAAATGCTGTCTGGAGACATCTCTGCTCATTTTATTTTTGTTATCCCCAGGAAGCAGAGCCTCTCTACGCGCAGATTAACAGACCTAAGAAATAGCATTGTTACAGGCTTGTGGTGCTCCAAGACTCAAACGAAACCCAACAACCTGGCGGGCCTTTGGCTTTCATGCTTTTTTCCGATTGATTTTGTCTGACAAAGGAGAGAGTTTGCCCTCCTGGACTGGCTCTACGAGTGTTCCTGATGTGGTTTTTTTGGCAACCAATGGCAGATTCCTATGGCAGCACAAAACAAAAACTCTCCCTGCTTCTCATACCACGAGTGCAGCGCCGTCCCCACAAGTGGTGGGTATCCAGACTAGGAAATCCTACTCCTCGGTCTTCTTTTAAACATTTCTGTGTGCCACCTATAAATAACGAGCATCTGAAATTTATTGGGCGTTAGACATTCCTTTTTTTTGTTCTTTTCAGCAAAAAGCAGAGTCTGTATGTAGCAGTGCATTATCATTCAACAGCCTTTGGGGCACGAGTCGGCACTTTTTATGTCACGGTGACATGTTTTTCATCTTCATTTACATCAGGCTGATCCTGACCCTTTTTTTTTCCGTATGTAGACATATTTAAATAACAACAAAATACTGGTGGTGTCTTTTTTTTTTTTTTTTTTTTTTTTTTTTTTTTAAATGTTTTTTTTACTCTGTAGTTTTGTATGAGTGACAGATCTAACAGCAAAACGCCTCCTGTGGAAATGATTCCCAACTTGAAACCACAGAACAGAACTCGGTTGTTTATCCATCCTTGACTGAAAATGTTGCCAAATGGACCTTTAAGTTCTAGCACATCATGAGGAAGAAATGCTGCTTTCTGTTGGGATACTCATGTTGTGGGTAGAGAAAGGACATTGAGTCCCACTGAGGAAAGACAAGAGTCAGTATTTCCTAGGAAACTCTAAACAAAGTGCAGAAAAGGAATATTTTTATTTCTTCAATATCTTGCTGCTGTAATGCTATGCAGACAAGTGTTTTCTTCTCTGTGTGCCATTCTTGATGAAAAAAAAAATCATTTGCCAAATAATACTGGTATGCTTCTGGTTTAGGAGTTTGGATGAAGCGGACTTGACAAATGGGACAAGGACGGCATGGATTTTGGAATAACAAAACTGACTCTGTGATCAAAATTGTTCATCTTTATCACTTTTTGTACATCAGAAAAAAATCAAATGGGATTTTTATTTTATAACTTGAAAAAAAAATCTTACTGTTAAACTCTTTAAATGTTTAAGGGGAAATGGCTTTAAGGAGTTCGAATGAAAATTGCCATTCTTTTTGTAAATATAAATGTTATGAAAATTCTTTTACTAATGCCATTACACAGTAGGGAAGGTAGCAAGTTGCAGTGCTTGGGAGGTGTGGCAAACCCAGTTTGTGGTTCTCACATCACATATGTTTTTTCACATGCTTAACAATAATGGGCTGAAGCTCAAGTGCATTTGCCAAAAGCAGTCAGCTTGTCAGCAACTAGTGAAATTAATGGGAACACATGATTTTATGGTCCAGCATTATCACACGGACATAATTCCACTTACAACAGATCACTTTCCATTGACATTCCTTTGAACCTCTGCATAGAAGTCATCCAACTGTTTACACGCAGAACAAAAAGAATTTAAAACTTCCTTTTTTTACATTTATGAAGCAAAAAGTGCAGTGTTTGGGTTCATATGTTTAGCACATGATTTTCATAAAGAATCTATATATTTTTGCCCTACAGAGAATTGTTATACAGGTCAAATGTGTTTTCCTGATGTTCCTATGCAGTTACAGTATATTGAATTTAGTGGTTTAACACTAAAAAGAAAAAAAAAAGAAGAAAAAAAAGAAAAAAAAGGTAAAGGAAATCAAAGGATTAATCAGTTTTTAGGGTGATTGTGCAGATTTTGTTTTTAAATTGACACATTAGGATTTACATTTTTGTCATGATTAAAATAGGCCTGGAGTTATAAATGTTTTACTTTCTTTCATCTCTGTTATAAGCTAAAAATGGTTTAGAAGGCAGAATAACTGGGGTGGTGATTGTTGGTATCCAAATCTCACAACATGATCCATTCTTTTATTTTGAATTAGAGAAATTAGAGAAATGTGCGTTGCAGAATGTATGTGAATGAGAAATTAGCTGTGAATAGACCTAATGAACCTGCAGAGAGGAGAATTTTACCCCCATCCATGGTCATTTGATGCTTGTTCCTTAGTCATGTGCAAACAGCTTTGTAGCAAATCTTGTTTCCCCATTGGAAGATCAAGTTTTCTAACTAGAGGAGATAATTTAAAACTTGGTGGATCGAGTGTTTCAGGATTAAAAGCAGAGATAAAAGCGTTTCTGGAGGACACTTCTATCAGAGTATTTTCCTGATTTGCACAGTGGTGCTACTTTCTTCCTCAATGGCTTTTTTTTTGGGTTTTGTCCTGCACATGGAACCACAAACCCAGTTTTGGTTCATCACAGACATTGGAGGTTTAGTGTCATCAGTGCATTTCCAGTTATGGGGTGAAACACAGAGAAGAGCTTGATGTCTCAGAGGATCACATTTGTAGCAAGCAGATCACTCACGAATAGGTGCTGAGGGAACGAGGCTGGAATTCTGGTCTCTGGGCCACCACCACGGACCTTTGTCTTACTTTTGCTCATGAATAAAAACAGATTCTGGATTGTCTCGTCCTGTGATCGTCCTTGTCGTGGCTGGGATGCTGAGCTGAGAGGGCTGCAGGGCCTCTGCACTGTACCAGTATTGTAGATAACTCAAATATCCAGCTTGTGCAATTGTTTAATCCCTCATCCTTCACTGGCACTAAATTCGTCACTTTAAATTTACAAACCAGGGAACCCCACCAGCCATCCTGTTACCATCCCCCCCCATAGGTTCTTGATCTTTACCTGTCATGAAAAGATATTTTGATAGATCGTAGTCATCCAAGTGTCTGATGAAACCTTTCATCTCAATAACGTACTGGGCACCTTCTTTGCAAAAATGTTTACTCCGTGGTTTTCATTCATTTTTATTTCTGCATTCTGACACTTATTTTTTTAATAAAGATGAGAAAGATAAAATGACTGTTGCAGTACATTTCTAAACCTACTTTAACTTTACCTCAGATAACGACCATTTGTTAACATATACGGACACATTATTTTTAACTTTATGTGTAATGCATTCAGCAACAACAACAGAAACCAACCAATTTTTAGAGATTTTCCATTAATTTCTGTAACACACCATGTAATACTGTTATGAATAAAAACATTAAAAAAAGGTGTCATTTCAGTAAGTTTGTTTCATAGCTTGTGCTCCTCTGGGATAATTCTGCCAGACTTAAAAGTGTAGTGTTTGTGTCTGCCATGGCCTTTATTTTTTAACAGTGGAAATACCTGGGAAAAAAAAAATCCTCAATTTGGGGAAATAACTAATCTTTAACACCAAGTGTTGCTTATCTTGCAAATGTGTAACTTGCTGATTTTAATTGCTGCCTCCAGTTTTTTGGCCTCTTTTTGGGTGTTTTAGGATGAGCATCCCAAACCAGCAGGTATTTGTATCACCTCCTGCAAAATCCCACATTCCTGGGACAGCCCATGCTGTGTGATGCTCCCAAAGCTGGATTATCCTTGTGGCATGAAAAGCTGAAATTAATTTTGCTCACTTTTTTCATTCAAGTGGGATTTGAAATTAAAGATGTGCATTTAAACATGACAGTTTTGAAAGCAGAATCCCCCCCCCCCCACAAAAAATTTCCAGTAATGTGCACAGAACTGATAATAAGATAATAAAGGTCAGCTGAGAAGGAATTTTCCCATTCTCTGCCAAGAGAGTAATGCAGTAAAATTTAAGTGTAAGAAATACATGTTTTATGTACAGGGAAAGTGAGAGGTGTGGATGTGTGCACATATGTTTTATTTTTCTTCTACTTTTAGATGTCTCATGCCTTCCTTGAAATGCCCAGTAGGTCATGGTGAAACATTTCTTGCCTTTGTCAATGAACATTGCTGAAATACTTGGATCCCACATGAGAATAAAGGTTATTCTGCTGTGGTGAAAGCACTCCAGTGTTAATGGCATTTTGTTTTGTTTGGAGGTAACTGTACCCAGGTGTCCTTGGAAGGAAGAATGTGATCTCTGGTTTTCAACCAGCTACAAAACACCAACTTAAATAAGCCACAGCTAAGAGTGGATTTAAATTAAAATGCATTACAATGAAGGCTAAATCTGGTCTTGTTGATCCTCTTCTGGTACCCTCATGGTGAGGTTGGTTGAGGAAAAATCAGAAAAATTGGTTCATGTTGTACAGCTATTGTGTAAACTCAGTTTAAAAATTCAGAATGAGCAGGTTTGAGGTGTAATCTGGCAATGGTGAGGAAGAGGAATCCCAAGGAGGGAGGGAAGGACCTGTTCTGTGTGTTCAGGAGGGATAAGAATGTATTCTTACTGTGCTGTGTTTATGTGCTAAATCACATTAATACTGCTGTAGAGTCTCTGTATTGTATAAGAGAGTGCCCAGCTCAGACATGCCCACTTCAATAAATGGTCCCAATTTAACCAGTGCTAATTAAGGCCACGGTCTCCTGCAGTAATGAGGATTTCATTAGCAAATTCTGGTTTGCAGAATCAGCCTGTGGTTTTACAGCAGTGAGAACGCTGACAGATCTCTCCTTTCCATGTCAGTGGCTTCTGGGAAAGGAGCTGCTTGTATAGACTGGGAATATGCAATTTTCACTCCCTCACACTGGATTAAAGGCAGTGTTTTCTCTGCTTTAATCTCTGCTCAGTGACAGTTGCTGCAACAGAGAAGGTAACCTCTTTCTGGCTGTTTTTGAGGTTGTGAAATACATTTTCATGCACTGTTTCCTTTTTAATTTCTTTGCTTTTTGAAGAGCTCCTTGTCCTGTCAGGTTCATATTTATTGCTTTTCTGGCAAATGCTGTTCTCAGTCGGAAGAATATCATGTCAAAGAAATGAAAGGGGATATCTGTTGGCAGTTTTCCACAGAGGTTTGAATCTGTTCTCTCCAATTCCCTCCCTGAGCCAACGTGGGATGCACACAGTGCTGAAGG